CATAATTTTCTTATTCAATAATTTGCAGCATACACTGTTGTGCAAAACTTAAAGGCAAACCCCGGGATTAGCCCGACTAGTGGGAAGGATACCACGAGGGAAATTGTAAGGTCCGTACCTACCTAGATCACTCCAGCTTCGTCGCAAAAATTGCGCGGTTAGGGCGCTAATCCTTACGATGTGCAACCATCGACCCCGTTGCAACGCTTCCCACCCACAAGTAGAGATCAGCGTGCTCTCTCGAACGGCGTGATCTCTCGCGTGTTTTGTCTTCTTTGATCGCCCTGTCTCGCCATCGTACCACATCCGACCTTTTGAAGGTTAAGGCCTTAATTTCAGCGTTCCCAAAGATTTCTCTTGCTTTCCTTTCCACTTTCAGGTCGTTCCGCAGCTCAGCATCACTACGAAGCGCTCTTATTACCAGTTTCATCTCGGGGCTTGAATTTAAGGACGAACATAACGTTTCCGTGATATGTTACTGCCAAGTAAATTGCCCGATGGTTAACCGTATAAAGAAAGAACTACTCCAATACAGTATTGAAACCAAAAATAAAAGGAACCGTTGTGAGGGCTACAGAGGTTATGACTACTTGTGTCTATCTCGTCCTTAAATTTTTGCACACCAGTATAAATTGTCTTCCATTGAACTCGGATTTGACCATATTTCCTCGAGTTTCTTTGTCTGCTATTTTGTAGCTTTTAGGTGCAGCATCGAATCTTCTCAGGCGTTCTACCCTTCTCCTTTAGTCACCGTTTCTAACAATAGGTGTGATTCTTCGCTCTGTCTATTTCGCAGCTTTAGCTTTCCGTGCTCGTTCAATTGTAGCGTGTCTCATGACGAAGCACTCCTAATACAATTGTTTTGAGGAATCGCAGACCAAATTGGTTCATAACCCCTATAACTTCTGCCCCCACCCCGCCCCCTCCAACTTATTTTGCGGGGGTTCACAAGCTCTCAGGTGATGCCCTAGCATAATCGTATTCTTCACCTCCCTGAAATATGTAGTTGTATAGATTTCATCATCAAATATTCATTTCTGCCGAGAGCATGGCAAGGAACTGCCGCACGTAGAAAAGAAATTGATTCGAAACCCACCCAACATTTTTTAACGTGAATGGTTTTACATGGGTGAACGGAGACTCTATTACCCAACGAATTTCTTAGTGAGATTGGCCGAATCTGTATGAAGGAAAACGTAGAGGGATGTTGTTGAATGAATTATCCATTGATTGAAAGCCACTTCTCACATACTCCACCTTAACACGCCAACACCGCCCACAAGTGAAATAAACGAAAACAAAGAGCTACTTCCTTTCCGGGCCTTAAATTTAATCGACCAAGAGCTATAAAGTTGAAAGCGTTTTCTAGCGCAGAGTGGCAACAGAAATGAATCAAGAGAAACCTATATAATTTTAGTAAAAACTGTTGCAGCTAGGTATGGTAGCTGGTCGTGAGCCAAGTGTTCGAGGATATTACATCGTTACGGTATCACTACAGTACTAAGGCAGTTATCACAATAAGTGCATTACATAATGGTTTATCGGCTTACGTCGTCTGCAGAAAAACCAATTTAAAGTCGCACCGAAAGTTTGCGAGCACTTCATGAGATGCCTCATAAAAATCGTCCCCAGAACGCCCTCTCAAACTTGAAGTGTGCGATAGGAGCTGGTGCATCACTTTCGGAGTGAAAGCAAAACAGCAAGCAGTTAGCAAACTGTAACAATGTGCCCAAATGTTTTATCAAATTCTCTTCTTTGAATTTTGACAGAGTAAATGAAAGAAACTTGCTAGGAAGGAAGAAAGAAATTTTTTAACAAAACTTACAGAAAAACGCCGACAAGTTGAGAAGCTGCCCAAAAATGCTGCTCTCCGGCTGTATTGCACCACCGTCACTGGAATCAGGTTTAACCATGGCTTTAGAGCACCTTCATTGACCTACTATTATTAACGATTTTTATAGTTCGTTCCCACCTAATGTAGGGGAGCCAAGGGTCAACATGATCCTTCGCTACAGCAATTCCATATCTGAAAATGAACGGTGTTAGTCATCCAAGCATTGCCGCTTTTACGACAAATGATTTATGACAGATCGCGCTTTGTTGAAACCGTTAGGGCAAACATCTCGCCGGAATTTTTCAACTTTATAGGGTTTCTAAACGAACGCAATAAGTCAATATGGCGTCGATCTGCTCCCGCAATGCTCCATGACTCATTAGAATTTCTGATGAAGTGATGAGTGTTCAAAAGCGTTACAATGTCATTTCTCAATCGAAGTCAGTAAACATGAAAAAAAGAAAATTTACGGCATTTCTGTAGCCTTTACGAAAAGGAGTTAACACACTTTTCTATGGTTTCAGGATGTAATGAAAGAAATATTCAGGAAAACGGAGCAAAAAACTCAATTATCTAATTTGAAAAAAGGAATTCGTTCGTTAACTATTATTTGATCTGGTCATCTTTCGAAAGCTGGTTATTGGTCACGGTAACAGTTCCATTTCTTATCCAGTGCTTGGCAGTATGTACTAACAAACAGCTTAACTAGCTGACAGTCATGGGCCATTGTAATGAATCATAAACTTTGCAGGCAATCCGATAAAGTATAGCGTATTTGACAACACTGAACCTTCAAAAACTGGCGAATTTTGCAAAATGTCGGCACTGCGCCATGGCAAAAAAAATCGGTTTTCATGTTTGACTTCAAATATTTTTTTAACAGTTCCGTTCTGCGAACCCTAGACTAATCTACGGCGAAGGTGAATGTTGACAAGTATGATGAGGGTTTTCGCTGCGTGGCTTCAGGTAAAACTACCGATTCCAGGTTGTAGGTCAATAAGGAGATTTATTATTTATTTATTATATACTCGTACGAGTGCCACTGCTAATTAATTTGTGTTTTGCCCTAAAAGCATAAATCTCACTAAAGGAACATTTCTCCACTGATAAGGGGAAGATTCACGGAAAAGTGACGGGTAGACGAGAAAAAACTAACCCGATAAAGAATGCTAGTAGAGCGAATAGGACTGATAGTAGAGGAAAAAGTGCGAGTTCACCGAGCGCCATACTTGCCTGATAGGGTGTGGGTGTATGTGCGTGTGCCCCAATGTGTGGCATTTGGCGACCGTATCTTTAACGCCTATCTGTATGTACCCGCCCCGCATAGACGTATGCACATGTACATACCGCACATGGCACATTTCCATCAAACATCCCGCCCACTACTTCCAGACCGCTGCTGGACGCTCATCACCTTTTTCTTATCTCCTTGTTGACCACACTTGACTAATCTGCTCGCTCCACACTAGCACTGTACTTTGATCCTTTGAATTGAACTGGACCCTCTCATATTCCAAGGGTGCCATCCTCCCCGTAAAGCAACAAACGAAATGGGCTAAACGAATACACGTAAGTGGGAGCGTTCAGGAATTTATGTTCACGCCCAATTCTCCTAGCTCCGTAACTACTGTAACGGTACTCACAATCACCATTACTTTCTCTCCTAGTGCTTTCCAAACGATACCCCCGGTAAGTTCATTTCGGCGAACACCCTTTTGATGGCTGCTTTTAGGAAACTAGTCTCTTAGGAACTTTATCATGACCCGCGTTTTTTTTTGTGATATTCCGCTAACTATGGAGATTGCCTTCTGACTCGTCCGAAATCGGCATTTTCCACTCTCAGCGCGCAACATTTGCGAATACATGTTGATGGAACCCTTCTCACACCACAAACCTTGTTCGTTTTACGCTTGGCATCGTCGCCTAACAAGGGAGGTCGTTCAGGGTGTGCCAAGCTTTTTCAAAATGGTTTCTTGCATGACATTGGGGCACATATGGGGACCACAGAAGCATGGTTCAGGGGTCCCTAGTTCGATTCCTCGTGGTGACAAATTTTTGCATTTCGAGTTGACGTTTCCAAATTCGCGCAAAATGGAGTTAGCATGAATAATTAGTACCAAATTCATGATTAGGAACGTCAGTAACCCTTACAAATAGACTTTGATTGAAAAACTGGTGAGGGACCCCTTTTCTGGTATTCAGAGGGCCGTTCAGGAAAAATTAACCATGGTTCTGTGGTTCCCGCATGTGCCCCTATATCATGCAAAAGACCGTTTTCAAAAAGCTTGGCACGCCCTGAAAGACCTTCCTGGTAAGTAAGCTGGGTATATGCCTCTTTAAGGCGGAAGTGGTGTAGTGACAAGTGGCGCGCTCACCACGCGAGCGGTCCGGGGATCAAATCCTGGGTCGTGAGTCGCCCGGGCCAACCAAGCCTTCCATCCCTCCGGGGTCGGTTAATTGGTACCAGACTTGTCTGGGAGGATAAAAACACTGACTTGTACATCGGCTGGCCCCCGCAAGTCATTGTATAGGCCACATCGCATTCAAACGCCACTGCGAATGTACAAATGGAAGTAGAATGCGTGCCGCATCCCAAAAAGGGATTGATCAACGGCAAATGCTTTATCCTTTTAATCCTTTATAGTAAGGTAATTGACGAGGCATTCAACGCTAACACCAAAACAGTAATGATTGGTGAATGGAGGTCTATTCAACACATTGACGACGACGGGGACATATCCGCGCATTGCAGGCCATGTCGGAACGCGCGGGATATACCCTCCCTTCAAAAAGCCAGAAAGTGTCGGGTGCAGACCATACACCACAAGTGACGACGGCCTCCACAAAATGCAAATGTTTTCTGCCAATGAAATGATTAGCCTGTTGCAGTTGTATTCTATCAGTTGTCACTAATTACAACTATCATTTACCAAAATCAGCTATCACTATGAACCACTACTAAGATTTACTTGGAGGCCGTCGTCAGTTGTGGTGTTTGGTCTGCACCCGACACTTTCTGGCTTTTTGAAGGGGAGGGTACATATATCCCCGCACCCATTACACTCATTTTTTTCGCGCACGCCTGATTCTTTTAGAAGTTTCTTGTATTCATTCCATGGAAGAGACCTTGACGTAGCTACAAACATAGTGGCCCATAGAATGGTCACGTATGCTTTAATTTAGAGGAGGATTTCTGAACCATACGAAATCTTCAGTTTCAATAAATTTTTCGTTTACTTTTTCTTTTTATGAATGTGAAGATTTAAATAGTAGTAGAAGTAGATACGGAACCTTAGGGATGACAATATGTGTGTTTTGATTGAAATAATCAACGTAAAATTGCTTTTGAGGTCCATTGCAGCTAGTTCTGACAAATTTCGCTTTTTCATTGTTATTCCATGTCTTTCGATCGAAATTCCACTACTGTACCCCTGGGTAGGTTGTGCTCATTACAATTTACTGATCTGGTTTTGTATTGATCATTATTTATGTATTTATCACTCAAAATCTGCTTGAACGACCTGAGGCGGCCGCGCCCGCAAAATCGCCCCGGTCCCACGTGGCCAAAAAAGCCAAAACTCGCGTTGTCGTCAACGTGTTAATAGACTTAGCCATTAACTAGCCATCAACTCTTTATTCCAAAACTGCAATAATTCAGGATTGCGATCAGTTTCGCTGTGGCTAAACCAGAATATTGAATATTGAATAAAATTGAAATTTGAAATTGAAAAGTGGAAGTCGGAGCAAACTTCAGTTTGCTCTAAATTTGTGAAATTCCTGGTAATTATTTTCGAAGTGTAGAAGTCATTTCTATCCATCTAAGCCTGTGAAGTATGCAATAGAAGTATAGAACTTACAGTATAAAACTTTATTAAGCGTGAATTTGTTCCTTCTGCTGGTCCCATTGACACTTCAATGGCATACCATCAGTATCATATTTCATTTGGCTTTCCATGGAGGCATATTTACTAAGAAAACAGTTGCGTTCAACAGAATGATAGCTCACATTTAAAAATCGATCCTACCCCATCGTTCGCGCATGAGTCATCTCTGAAATTCAATGCGAAAACTTTCGTACGATCGCCAGTGCTTCTCTCCAACTTCCAACTGTACTATCAAGTTGAGCCAGCAATGTATTACACCATGGTGTCACTAATCCGACTAAAGTAATCTACAATGAGATTACCATGCCACACCTGAAATCGCTTATGCTAAAACAGGTCAACGCAGATCGCCGATAGACTGCCGTTACAGTGAGAGGACAACGGAGACCAAGTGAAAACTATGCTGGAATACCACGAGGCGACCAAAGAACGTATACAAGGGGAGCGGTACAAAAAAGTCACTTTGAACATGGCGCAACAAACTTTACGTTGCAAAGGGTGCCGCTGTTGATGCGAGTTTCACTTCCAAATATTCCTTAGATGTCCTCCTCCCCCACACAAATGAGCAGGAAGCAGGCCCTTCTTCATTGTCCTTACCGTCCCAGAATACGACGTCATCTACCATCACCGTTGAGCTGAAGAAGCCTACGGTGACAGCTCCGGCCTGAAGCTGCTACATGAATTCTTCACTCGGCTGAGGCGAATAGCATTTCAGAGAACCTAGCACTGTGACCATGGAAGACCCTTTTCACAGCGTTCCCGATGACGTTGTAGTGGTATATGGTCCGTAGACGACCTCGTAGAGCTCGTCCCGTGGAAAAATCTTCTGAAGTCGTCCGCATAGTAGGCTGTTATGTAGCTATTTAAAGATTAGGATGTGGTCTCCTTTTCAGCTGGGCTCATCGTTCAGAGAAGTGTGATTGATTCCGTTCCGGATGTAAAAGGAAGTGACTCTTATTGACTTCCCGCCCCCTGTATACTGTAAAAAAATTGAATGAGTAGCTAGTGGAGTTGGAGTTGGGGGTATGGGGATCGAGGAGACATTCCTTGTGTGCGCAACAGTCGGAGCAGGGTGAATATCGGTCGAGGAAATCCTCGACAGGGGGGTCGTACCTGTTGGGCTGGTCCATGGGGGGTCGTACTCTTGGGGGTCAGTAACAGAAGTGGTATCATGGTGCAGATAGGTAATAGGGTA